GTTTTATCTTATTGCATATTAGAAAAAAATGTATGGGTTGAATATCGCTTCATTACATAATGTAAATACAGTTTTTTAGATGAAAACTGTTACCAATTACATGCACTGCATCTTCTGGATAATAAATAGCTTTCAAGAGATAGGAAAAAAAGAAAATTAAATAATTTATTCTGAAAAAAATGAGTATCCAGATTATTAGAATTATTCCAAAGCACATATGTTTTGGTCATTTACACAATCAAAAATATAGCTAATTCTCAGAAAGGTTACTGATTGTTAAAATTAGAAAGATAATTTTCTTTCTAATTATCACCATTCTTCCTCCTTTTCTATATTAGAACACTATCTTCAATAAATGGGGTTCTGACCTGGATTTGTTCTATCACAGTGACTTCAATTCAACCTGATTATATTTGCTCATTTTTTTCACATATATTGTTTTATCTGTTAGAACTCTGAGAGGTAAACTATTATCCCTAATTAATGAATTTCTTCCTCCATTGAACATGCATTGGGCACATATTGTGAGTGACAGTTCTACAGTGAAATCACAGTTCTTGTTATTAAGTCCTCAAACTCTGATTGGTGGTCAACTCCAGTGGCCGGGTTGGTGATAAAATGAGGGAAGGCAGCGCAGTGTGACAGTGGGGAGTGGTGGAGACTACTGCACTAAAGAATATGTCCTTCTGTGTAAGGGACAACTGAGCATTAGCTCTAGCTCCTGTTGCCTTGATGTGGGACCCAGGGTTGTCAGATTGTCTAATTTTTCAGAACATTCTTTATTTTTAATATTGAAAACAATTTTTTTTTTTTTTTTTTTTTTTTTGAGATGGAGTTTCGCTCTTGTTACCCAGGCTGGAGTGCAATGGCGCGATCTCGGCTCACCGCAACCTCCAGCCTCCTGGGTTCAGCCAATTCTCCTGCCTCAGCCTCCCGAGTAGCTGGGATTACAGGCACGCGCCACCTTGCCCAGCTATTTTTTTGTATTTTCAGTAGAGACGGGGTTTCACCATGTTGACCAGGATGGTCTCGATCTCTTGACCTCGTGTTCCACCCGCCTCAGCCTCCCAAAGTGCTGGGATTACAGGCTTGAGCCACCGCGCCTGGCCTGAAAACAAATGTTAAAGATTAAGTGCTGCAGTGACTAAAGAAAATAAATGCTGGCCAGATGCAACACAAAGGCTGGAAAGAGAGCAAAGCAACCAGGTCATTATGCAGTGTGTGGCAGTCTAGAGTGCTGTGGAAGCAGAAGGAGGTGCCGATGCAGATTCAGGGGGATTCCAGAGGACCTGTGACAGGCTGGGGGCAGGCATTGGAGAGGAAGGGGCAGTTGAGGGACCCGAAGGTGGAAGCAGTCACTGTGGTTTGAGATCCAGGGATCCACCCATCCAGTCATAGATGAAGCCAGGAGCGGCTCCTCCCTGGCAGTGTTCCCCTGCCTCTGCCTGGTGACACAGTAGCACAGGTGTTCATGATTCTAGACAAGAAGGCACAAGGGGTGTGCATTATAACACCTATTGGATTTATCTTAGAGGGAGGCCAATTAGGACACATCTGTGTTAGTTACCATTCACTCAAATGAGCAGCCTGAGCAGCTTTGAGAAGCAGCCGCTCTGTGTGCAGCTGATCAGCATGTTTCCCTGCTCCGCACTTGGGGTTTGTGTCCCTTCTTTTCATGCTCCTGATACTGCCAAGCTGCCTTTCGTTGTGGAATATCAGATAGGTTGATATTCCATGCTTGTGGAATAAAGTAAACCAGGCATCATTAGTCTTCTCTCTAGTGCTTATGTGGGGCCAGTTTCTCTGCACATGTCCCCCAAGTAATGCATGCTAGACTGTTACAGATGCTGTCAAGACTGGAGGTTTTGGCAAAGTATGAAAACCCCAACATCCAGACCCGTGGTACCTAATCTCAGTCGTTTGTATGGCTTGTGCTTGCTAAATCATCCCCAAATAAATAGAACTGAAGCATGTAAAAGCATTTTTCTATCTTTGAGCCAGACCCTGAATGTCCAGAATTTTAAAGAATTTTCATAAATAACCTTTTTATTGCCTTATTTTTATTTTAAATATTATTACTTAATCGCTGAAGCTGCTTCATTAATTTTCCTTCTTTTTATGAATGCCAAAGAATTTCATAAGGAATTTCATTCCACTCCAGGAAATTCAAGGTCAGACTTACAACCCTCCACCAGTGAAATGGTTTATTTCTAAAATACTCCTTGGCCAGGCTGTGTCAAAGGTGTTTTGGAGATCACCACCTCGGCCAATCTGTGAGCTCCCTTGAAGGAACACATCGTGCCTTCTCCTAGCCTAGTCCAGCCTCCTTTCAGGCACCTAATAGCTGTTTGACCAATGTTTGTTGAGTAAATGAATACATTGTTAAGTGTACTATTGCATTATGTGTTTGTGATCAGTTTTGTTGAGGTAGCCCTGCTGTCCTGAATGGCAGAAGTCACTGGCTGCTGGCAGTGGGATAGGACTCAGCCCTAGGTCAGCATGGCGGGATGCTGGGGAGCCCTGTTACCAGGCATGAATTGGATTTGATTTCCACTGGTTCTAGTATTTGATCCCTTTGACCTTCAGTTTTCTCTTCCATCATATGGGGATAAATTTCTACTTCAGAGCATGATAGAAAGAAAAACAAGCGATCCTTTTTTAAAGCACTAAAACAGTACTCAACATTATAAATGCTTTGTTCAAAGTGTTAGTGGATTCTTAGTCCCCAGATGCCTTCTGCATGTCCCTGGGTCCAACACTGCTGTCGCTTGACTGCAGCTGCCTGGATGCCTCCCATTCGTCCGATGGATTACAGTCTTTGAGGACTGTCACATCCTAACAGATCAGTTGATCCTCAATAATCATGTCATTAACATGAAGGACAATATTAGTTGCAAACAGTTCTATATAGCACTTATCATGTGCCAGAAACAGTTTACAACAGCTGGTTCTCCTGAAAGTGCTTTACAGCTGTTAAACTCACTTGCTCCTCACAGAAATTTCAGGAGGTAGGTACTGTCATTCTGTCCCGTTTAGAAATGAGGAAACTGAGACTCAGGGTCAAGTAACTTATCCCAGGTCTCACAGCTCATAAACAACAGCAGCAGTAACAGCATCAGCAACTGCTCTGGGCACTGGGCTCAGCACTTTGTATTAGTTAGCCCAGTTCCTCTTCACAACACCCCTGTGAAATGGGTTCTATTTTTAGCTCCTTATGAATGTATAGCATCCAAGTGACAGTGCTGAAATGCTTCACTATTTGTCTGCCGTTTTCAGTTATGAGTGTAGTATCCCTCGTAGACCATTCTATCCAGACTAATTTCCCGAATATGATACGTGCTGACTTGTCAATCTCTTTGTCTCATAGTTTGTGTAAATGCCTTGGCATTAGCCCTGTTTTATCATATTAGTTTTAATTCCACCTAAGTTATACATTTTTTTTTACTTTTAAAACTTAATACATTTTTTAAAAAATTTAAGATCGTATCATGAAAGAAATAACCTGAAGCGTGCACTTCAAAGAATGTGATCTTTATCTTCTCACCCTAACCCTGTGTCTACACAAGCAGTACGTTGCATGGTTGGGTAATTGCTGGATGATTTTGAGATATGCCAGCAAGAAAAAAAAGTTATGACCAAGAAGCTGGAAAAGTGAAAAAAGCTGTTTGAATTCACTTCAGATGGGTCATTCACTCAACAAAGGTAAATGATTTTTCATTGCCCTGGCAACGTGACCTGCCTGGGCAGTGGGCGTGGTTCATCTGGGTTCAGCCACTTCCGGGGTACCCGTCAGCTCACCCCTGGTAGCGGCTCAGCCCACAGCGGAGGCAGCTCTGCTCCTCTGCCTCCCTTGTTGTTGTCCTTGTTGTTTTTCTTGAGCTCTTTCCCCAGGATTCTGGTTCTGTGCTCTGGTTTCTTTCTAAGTCAGATGATCCACTTGGGATCTCTGTTAGTTCTGGAAGCTTCGACTTTAAAGGAAACAGAACCGCTGTTTCTCTATCTGATGGAGCAGCCGAATGAGGCTTTGCTTTTTCTTTTTCATCTCTTCTCTGGACATGTGTGAATCTGTAAAAACAACCAGCCAGATTTGGTTCTACATTTTAGATTATTCCTCGTAAAGATAAGGAGGGTTGGTTTATCTTTTATTGAAATGTTGGGTTAGTGCCTGTGATTTCATCACTCGTAAATGACATTTATATGTTTTAAGATGAATGCTTATTTTTCTGCCATACATACTTTGCACTATACTGGTTTGGGAAAGAATCCACAGATGCCAAATATTATCTGTCTACTTCTTAGTGAAGACAGAGTTGTTAACATGCAAGCATAGTGTCTTCATTTAACAGCACGTTCTCTTTCAGGGTGTATGTGACAGTAGCTGAAGAGAGGGGTGCTCCACCTGGGTTTGCATCCAACTGCGCCTCTTACTAGCCAGTGTGACATTGGACAGGTTACTCATTCCTCTCTGAGTCCCAGTTTCCCCATCTCTAAACTGGGAATGATGATAGGATCTACCTTCTAGAGTAGTTGTGAGGGTTAAGTGAGGTACATGCTAAAAACAGTACCTGGCACATAGTGCCTTGTGAGGGTTGTTATTTTATCACTACCATTACCCTGTTGTCAATGTCTAAACCCATATAAATGGGAGGCTTATATAGTCACTATCTGAATAGAATTTCACACTGGGTGAAGCAGATTGGCCACTGTAGAGACACGGGTAGAAAATATCAATAAAGGTGGGTATAGCCTGGGAACTGAGAGTTTATAAGAGTTTTGCTTATAATGTATAGGTAATCAAAGCTTCAGTTCTCATAATCTGAATTTTAAAAGAATAACATATTTGTCTATTTTACTTTTTTAAAGGTGTCTATTTTTTCTTTTAAAACACAAATATTTATTACCTAGCCTATCTAGTAAGTGGTAAATGTTATATAGGAAACAGAGCACAGTCACTGATGTTTTTAATATTAATTGTATCTTCCTTTCTATCTTTTATTTAGAACGCTTCAACAATAAATACATTTGATAAAGAAAGATGGCTTTAAAAGTACTACTAGAACAAGAGAAAACGTTATTCACTCTTGTAGTATTACTAGGTTATTTGGTAAGTAAACTCCTTGCTTCTTTCATAGTAATGTGGTGAAAGAATTCATGTGTTAATAAGTAGTAGTACAGCTGGGCTCGGTGGCTCAAGCCTGTAATCCCAGCACTTTGGGAGGCCGAGGTGGGTGGATCATGAGGTCAAGAGATCGAGACCATCTTGGTCAACATGGTGAAACCCCGTCTCTACTAAAAATACAAAAAATTAGCTGGACATGGTGGCGCGTGCCTGTAATCCCAGCTACTCAGGAGGCTGAGGCAGGAGAATTGCCTGAACCCAGGAGGCGGAGGTTGCGGTGAGCAGAGATCGCACCATTGCACTCCAGCCTGGGTAACAGGAGCGAAACTCCGTCTCAAATAAAATAAAATAAGTAGTAGTACTACCAAAATTATTTTGTTGTTTATTTTTTTGAGTCAGAGTCTTGCCCTTTCACCCAGGCTGGAGTGCAGTGGTACAATTTTGGCTCATTGCAAACTCTGCCTCCCGGGTTCAAGCGATTCTCCTGCCTCAGCCTCCTGAGTCACTGAGATTACAAGTACCCGCCACCATGCCTGGATAATTTTGTATTTTTAGTAGGGATGGGGTTTCACCATGTTGGCCAGGCTGGTCTCAAACTCCTGACTTCAGGTCATCTGCCCACCTCAGCCTCTCAAAGTGCTAGGATTACAGGTGTGAGCTACCACCATAAATTCTAATTTGGAACGTATCACCTAAACAGATTATGAAGAATTTAGAATAGATTTTTAAAAGTTACTATTTTACGTAGTTGTTTATATTCTTGTTGGTTCCAAAAAGCATGAAAAACAGAAAAGTTTAATATTTGGAAGTTTGATAAAAGATCTATGAAGGTGTTCAAAAGAATGAGATTTATTTAATCTAGAGATAATGATCTACAGATATATAAAGAAATATTTACACTGAAGACAGTACACAACGTTTTCCTGAAAGACAAGGTTAGATTGGATGCAGTGGCTCATGCCTGTAACCAGCACGTTGGACAGCCGAGGCAGGTGGATCATTTGAAGTCAGGAGTTCAAGATCAGCTCGGCAAACAGGGTGAGACCCTGTCTCTACTAAAAATACAAAAATTAGCTGGGCGTGGTGGCAAACACCTGCAATCCCAGCTACTCGGGAGGCTGAGGTAGGAGAATCACTTGACTGTGGGAGGTAGAGGTGGCAGTGAGCTGAAATCGCACCACTGCACTCCAGCCTGGGTGACAGAGCGAGACTACGTCTCAAAAACAAATAAATGAAAATAAATAAATAAAAAAGAAAGAGAAAGTGGAATTCAGGTCAATGTCGGAGAGCTTCCATTCTGTGATTGGAGGCTGTTACTCATGGAATAATGGTATAAGAGGAAGGTCCTGTAATTTCTTTCTTGATGGTCTGAGAGGAAGGTGGTGTAATTTCTTTCTGGAAGACATTACAGCCTCTTTGTGATGGAAGGGAAGCTCCTACTCCTTATAAATAAACTCCAGGGTAGGGAGTTGAGGAGGAGTTGAGGCAAAAGGAGTTAATTAGATCTTTAGCCTCAAATAATTTTCTAGTATCAAACTTCACCTTGAATTCTTCCTCCTACTTGCCCTAGATGTTAAACCTTTGACTGTAAAGAGGTTGTCAGATACCTTCACAGATATTCCTGCTTCAAGGTGGAGGAGGTTAGTACAGAATTATATGCATCAAAAGCAATGTCCTGTGCTAGCCTGTGTGGTAAGCATTGGACAGAACAGCAGTGTCTGTTCCCCCAGTGCCTGCTAAGATTTTCAGCTTCCATTAAGGAAAAGAGTAATGTCAGTAGCACTCTTCAGGGCATTCTTGCTCAGGATAAGAGGTTGGACCCAACATCTTTATCAGTTCTGTGATGCTGCTAATCCCACCATTATTCATGAAATACTGTCTGTTAAGCAGATAAACATACTTTTTTAGGATGATATCATACAAGGTGAACTTGTTGCTTTCAGATAAAATAAGAGACAAAAGCTATATTTTGGAAAATGACAAATAACCTTTGTTTTTGCCAAAGTATAAATTTTCCATCTAAGTCCCGTGCTGTGAACCAAAGTATATGGTTAGGCCCCAGGCAGTGGCTCAATGGTAACCGGTAAAAGCATAAGGTCAGATTTCAGTGGCACTTCTACTTTGAAGCGTTCTGAGAGTTGGACTATTGCCATCTTTATCATCATCACCAAGAATTTTACTGGTGTCCTGATCGTTAGAAAGTATTCTTTGAAAGACAATCTCTAAGTAAATATAGTTCAGTTGAAAAGGGTTGAAACTTTCCCATCAAAACCGCATGGCAGGTAAGTCTAAATAATAAATGAGAAGTTTTTGTGGCTATACTAATCTATTCAATTTATTTAATTCATTATACTTGAATATGTTTATTTTTCTTAAAGATTAAACATTTGTTAATTCAGAATTTTTCTGGTAGCAAAAGGACCTTGGTCATATATCAAAGGAGTGATAACTTTTTTTTTATTAATATCTTCTTACTTAGAGATGAGAACAGCTTCTAAGTCATATTGTATCTTGGGTCCCAGAAGGGTATCTGGGGAGGATAGCAGTTAATTCCAAGAAAATGGGGCACCCTGTTTAGAGAATCAATGACTATTCTCTGGAATACAGAGAAGAATTTGGCTCGTTGATTTATTTGTTCCACTGACTTATTCAGAAAGGGTTTTTCTTCCTAAAGTGAAAATTGAATTGACCTCACTCTGAACCAATGTTTACGTTCAGTGATTGTGTGACTAATATTGAAAATATTGTTCCTTTCTTGCAAAAAATATCTTTAACATACTTTAAGATAACATTTGGTTAATTTTTTTTTTCAGTTGTGTAAAGCGACTTGTGAAACAGGAGACTGTAGACAGCAAGAATTCAGGGATCGCTCTGGAAACTGTGTTCCCTGCAGCCAGTGTGGGCCGGGCATGGAGTTGTCTAAGGTACACTGGATACATGGCAAAGCTGTGGATCTGTGTTTGTAAAAGGCATTCTTTTAAACTAAATTCTTGGAGTTAACTATCAATGAAGCGTTGGATACCATGACCAAATTCTTTGATTATTATGTCACTTTAGCCAAATATTACACAATTCTCCTTTTAATACTTTTGATTCATGTGCCTTGCTGAGATAAATAGGTTCTCAAATCCAGAATTCAACAGATGTCATTTTTTAATATATTTTAAGATTTGTAGTATTTCACTAAAACAATAAAATTTTTAAGGTTTATTTGCATTGATCAGAAACAACCAAAATTCCATTGAAGATTTAAAGCTAAAGCATTGGGGGGTGACTGGCAAGATGGCACAATAGGAACAGTTCTGGTCCACAGCTCCCAGCGAGATCAACACAGTAGGCGGATGATTTCTGCACTTCCAACTGAGGTACCCAGCTCATCTCATTTGAACTGGTCAGACAGTGGGTGCAGCCCACGGAGGGTGAGCGGAAGCAGGGTAGTGGGTCGCCTTACCTGAGTAGCATAAGGGATTAGGGAACTCCCTCCCCTAGCCAAAGGAAGCCATGAGGGACTGTGACATGAGGAATGGTGCATTCTGGCCCAGATACAACACTTTTCCCATGGTCTTCACAACTGCAGCCTAGGAGATTCCCTCTAGTGCCTACACCAGCAGGGCCCTGGATTTCAAGCACAAAACTGGGCGGCTATTTGGGCAGACACCAGGCTAGCTGCAGGAGTTTTTTCCATATCCCAGTGGTGCCTGGAACACCAGCGAGAAAGAACTGTTCACTTCCCTGGAAAGGGGGCTGAAGCCAGGGATCCAAGTGGTCTAGCTCAGTGGATCCCACCCCCATGGGGCCCAGCAAGCTAAAATCCAGTGGCCTGAAATTCTCGCTGCCAGCACAGCAGTCTGAAGCCAACCTGGGACGCTCGAGCTTGGTCAGGGGAGGGGAGTCTGCCATTACTGAGGCTGGAGTAGGCAGTTTTCCCCTCACAGTGTCAACGAAGCCTCCGGGAAGTTGGAACTGGGCAGAGCTCAGCACAGCTTGGCAAAGCCACTGTAGCCAGACTGCCTCTTTAGATCTCACCTGTGTGGGCAGGGTATCTCTGAAAGAAAAGGCAGCAGCGTCAATCAGGGGCTTATAGTTAAAACTCCCATCTCCCTGGACAGAGCACCTGGGGGAAGGGACAGCTATGACTGCAGCTTCGGCACACTTAAAACATTCTGCCTGCTGGCTCTGAAGAGAACAGTGGAATTGGGAAAACTGGCTAACCATGTGCAGAGAGCTGAAACTGGACCTCTTCCTTACAACTTAAACAAAAATTAACTCCAGATGGATTGAAGATTTTAGCATAAAACCTAACACCATAAAAATCCTAGAAGAAAACCTAGGCAGTACCATTCAGGACATAGGCATAGGCAAGGACTTCATGACTGAAACACCAAAAGCAACTGGAACAAAAGCCAAAATAGACAAATGGGATCTAATTAAACTAAAGAGCTTCTGCACAGCAAAGGAAACTTTCATCAGAGTGAACAGGGAACCTACAGAACAGGAGAAAAAATTTACAATCTATTCATCTGACAAAGGGCTAATATCCAGAATCTATAAGGAACTTAAACAAATTTACAAGAAAAAAACAAACAACCCCATCAAGATGTGGACAAAGGATATGAGCAGACACTTCTCAAAAGAAGACATTTATGCAGCCAATAAACATGAAAAAACGCTCATCATCACTGGTCATTAGAGAAATGCAAATCAAAACCACAATAAGATACCATCTCACACCAGTTAGAATGGTGCTCATGAAAAAGTCAGGAAACAACAGATGCTGGAGAGGATGTGGAGAACTAGGAACACTTTTACACTGTTGGTCAGAGTGCAAATTAGTACAGCCATTGTGGAAGACAGTGTGGCAATTCCTTAAGGATCTAGAACCAGAAACACCATTTGACCCAGCAATCCCATTACTGGCTATATACTCAAAAGATTATAAATCATTCTGCTATAAAGACACATGCACAGGTATGTTTATTACAGCACTATTTACAATAGCAAAGACTTGGAACCAACCCAAATGTTTATCAATGATAGACTAGATAAAGAAAACGTGGGACATATATACCATGGAATACTATGCAGCCATAAAAAAGGATGAGTTAATGTCCTTTGCAGGGACATGAATGAAGCTGGAATCTATCATTCTCAGCAAAACAGAGGAACAGAAAACCAAACACCACATGTTCTCACTCATAAATGGTAGTTGAGCAATGAGAACACATGGACACAGGGAGGGTAACATCACACACCAGGGCCTGTCAGCGGGTAGTGGGGAAGGGGAGGGATAGCATTAGAAGAAATACCTAATGTAAATGACAGGTTGATGAGTGCAGCAAACCACCATGGCAAATGTATACGTATGTAACAAACCTGCATGTTCTGGTTTGTTACATGTATCCCAGAACTTAAAGTATAAAATAATTTTAAAAAAGGAGGAAACAGAAAACCTGAATGCCGCACTTACTGGTACTTCTTTTTCTTAAAATGAATGTTAGCATTGCTAGTCAAGAAGTAGAGCCTGCCAGTGTCTTAAGTAAAGATGCTCTGAGATAGCAGACATTTTCCAAACTAGAGTTTTGAACATTCCTTTGACAGTAGGTGTATTATTACTGATCTCACCACAGTGAGTACGTGCTACTCTCAGGAGCACTTTAAATATATTCATTTCAACCACTATTGCTAAGAAACTGTGTGATATCAGGACATATTTCACAGTCTTGGATGATCCGAAGCCTGTTCTGTTTTTGTTTTTGTTTTGGGAGCACGTTCAGAGCTATACATCCATTTGCTTTATTTGCTGATCTTTTGAAGATGTTACTAGTTGTGGAGAAGTGATGTATTGTTTTGTTTTAAATAAACTTCAAAGCCTTTCTGTTAGAAAAGGAACAATAGATTTTTCTTTTTATTTTAAGGGACTTTTAAAAGAGAAGTCCTTTTTCCCTACAGACTGCCATTATCTAATGTTGAGTCTTGTCATTCATAGATTTTTGATCAATGATTTATAAACAGCAGGAAACAAAGAATTATGCATTGCACAAGTGGCTCCTGATAGATAGCTTTTCTCTCCGGCTTTTGTGTTAAATGAGTGGTGGCATTTAGTATCCTGGGCTTAACATTTGGATTGAAACTGACTGACCTTCAAAGTCTGTGTGGTATCTCATTAACAGTAACAGCTCAACAGGTATTTTTCAACTCCTGTTGATTACAGTAACATGCACTTCAGACATAGATTTTGCTGTGTCAGGTGTAAAAAGATTCATTTATAACATATCTAAGACCAGTAAACAAAATAGTTAAAAATGCCATTATGTCCAAGAAGAAAATAGATTGCTGATGAAAAGAGCCAAACTCTGTAAAATATTTGAAGAGATTTATTCTGAGCCAAAAATGTGTGACCAGTGGCTTGTGACACAGCCTTAGGGAGATCCTGACAATTTGTGCCCAAGATTAGGTAGGGCTACAAGTTGGTTTTATTCAATTTAGGGAAACATAAGACATCACTCAACATTGGTTCTGTCTGGAAAGGCAGGACAACTGGGAGTAGGGAGCAGGTAGGAAAGGGTGATTTCAGGTCGTAGATGGATTCCAGGATTTTCTGATTGCCTATCTGATTATCTAAAGACCTGGAATCAATAGAAAGGAGTACCTGGGTTAAGATAAGGAGTTGTGGAGACCAAGGTTTTATCATGCAGATGAAGCCTCTAGGTAGCCCACATCAGAGAGAATAGATTGTGTTTTCTTACCAGATTTAAAGAGTGTGTTCCATCAGTAATTCCAAAAGGGAGGGGGGTACCATGAGGCATATCTGGGTGCCTCTTCCCATCCTGGCATGAGCTAGTTTTTCAGGTTAACTTTGGAATGTCCTTGGCCTAGAGGGGGGAGTCCATCCAGATGGTGTGGGGCTTAGAATTTTAATTTTGGTTTAAAGATGATGACATTTATTTTCCTCAAATGTTCTTTCTTTTCCAAATCTCTGTGAAAATCTGAATGAAACTTTACAGATTCTAAGAGATGAATAAATAATTTTTAAGAAATTATTGTCTTCATCCTTTGAATCTGCAGAATACAACCTTAAGGTAACTTTTGGAGAATCAGACCAAAAGATGAAAGTCCTGTTAGCCTTATTACTATTTTTTTAAATGGAGAAATCATTTTCCAGTTTCTGGTTTCATATATATGAGGAATTTAGAGGTTGCTACTCTATCCCAACAGCAAGTAAAAAGCTTTGCAAGCAGCTACAGAGAATCACAATACACTGCTGCATAAGCCTCCCCGGGAGCCAGCACCGTGTTAGGAAACCCGCACTGTTATTGGCAGACTGCTCCAGCCTCGGTTTAGAAAAGTCTGAGAGTGACAAACTTCAGGAGGACCCACTCATAGAGCGCCCTCTCTTGCTTTTGTGAGTTTTACCTCCAGTCACTCAAACAGATTCTCACAGTAAATGTCAAAAAAAAAAAAAAAATCCCCCTTATTTTTCTGACAGGGGAGGCAGACAAGGAACATTTTGAAATATGCTAGAGCACTTTGTTTTTCTTGACTGCCCTCAAGAGAAACGCAGACACCAGAGGCTTACCTGCCAGGGCTTTATTAGAGCCTAACTAATGTGGGGATGGGAAACACTGCCTCAGCCTGCTCCAGCCATTCTCTCCCATTTAAAGGCAAACGAGCAACTGAGAGGCACTGGGGAAGCTTACAGTCCAGAGGCACAGGCCTGCACAGGACTATGGAAAGCTGCCCTTTCCCCCACATCTCACCTCCACATTACTAAAGGCCTGTTTACAGCAGCACCTTGTACCCAGTGTATCATCTACGACATTTAACAAAAATGTACAAAGCATACTAAAAGGCAAAAAATACTGTTTGAAGAGACAAAGCAAGCATCAAAACCAGCCTTGGCAAGGAACGTGAAATTATGAGAGAG